TGAAGCTCTGGACTCCACCTCCTTTGCATGTTGACCTGCTTCTGCAACCGCTTTGTGGGCTTGGACTTCGACCCCTCTAACATGCTGAATGGCCCCTTGCTCAATTGACTGGACATACTGACCGGCTTGCTGCTGCACTTGACTAATCATTTGACTGGTCTGTGATTCAACAGCTTTGGCATGGGCTATCGCCGAAGCAGCAATGCTAGGATCCATCCCTACGCTCACATGTTGATGTACAGATCTTTGATCATGCATCACATTATGGGTTACAGATTGGTAATTCACTGAGCGGTGATCATTTGCACTAAGAGTCCTAGGAGTTACGGATTGGGAACCCGCTGGCGTGGCATGTTCAGACCCTGACAAAACCATAGATCCCGGACCTCTGTGTGATAACCCCCCTGCATCTGGAACCGGTGGTCGGCTTGAACTAGAGCTACTACTTCTTGAGTTCGAACACGGGCTTTTAGTGTTGGATTTACGAACCCGCAGTGCTCTAGATACAGGTGGTCAGGAGTGGAAGATGAAATCATCAACGATGTGAATGTTGCTGATTCATCCATTGGTGCATTCATTGCATCAGTTATTTCACTGATTTGAGGCATCACAAGGTGTGAACTCCACTTAGCAAAATGCCGTACCCTGAGAATTGCTTAGCAAATCAAAGAGGGTTCAAAACCAAGTAAACTTTTGGGTGATTTTTGGAACTTCAAGGAACACAAAGCTTTGCTTGTCTTATCACTTAATGATAAGGGTTCACAATTGAAGTTATTGGCACTGGGTTAACTGGATTAGTTGAGTGAGGATGCACCAAGGGACGCAATCGCTCAGTTTATACACAGCACGCAGCTTAGAGATTTGGAAACGAAGCAATCAAGGCCTCAGTGTAACCGTCCAAAGCGTCCAGAACGTTCTTGTACCAAAACACCTGATTGAACTCACGCTGCCGTTTCCAATGAGTCGGCACTTTGATACCAGCTGCCCTGATAGACACTGGAGAATTCCGCGGTCTTCCACAGATTTCCCTACAGATGTCAATGTTGTCGTCCACGTGCCAAACTTTCGAGTTCTCCTTGCACAAAGGTTCAATGGCCCAAACTTTACCTCCACGACCTGTGCGCTCCCTTGTTGTAACCACAACGTCAATGAAGTCTTGTTCCCACGGCCAAAGATCCTGAACAAGTTGAGAATACTTTTCAGAATGAGTGTACGACAGAATGAACACTGTCACTGGAATCGAAAGGGATCGCAAATGGGTCAAACGTTCACGAATCGGGTCCAAAATGTAGTACCAGTCCCCGCTCGTGCGCAGAGTCTTGAACTGAGTACGCACTGTGTCACACACTTGATGCCAATCCAGGGATATAACAAGGCCTTCGAACCTGTATCTCACCTCTGGGTTGCAACGGACACCGTGCCGTTCAAGCAATGCGTGATTGAACAATTGCTGTTGTTGTCGCTGCTGCTGTTGATGGGATCGCACAAGCAAAGGATTACTAGCCGAGATGCGTGGAGCTGAGCGAATCCGCGATGAAAGGTCTGAAGATGAATCAAACCAGACACCAGCCAAGGTTTCCGGTTCTTGTTCCTCTTCCTCTTCCTCACTACTAATTGCTACCTCCTCCCTGATCTCTGACTCCGCTTCTGAATCCTCTCCTAAGTCAAGAATGTTCTCGTCCCTCCGAGGCAACCAACCGTCAATGACCTCTTGCAATCGGCGTTCTGCTTGTCGCTGACGCTTCTTGTAAATGTCAATGCGAGGATCTGTTGCCGAAGAACAGTTCTGAACAATCTTAATGCAAAGTTGGATCAAGAAACGAAGAAGACCGCAGCAAACACCTTTCAAGCGTCTCCTATGCTTGTCACCGCCTCTCTTCTGCACCTTGCACTTGCGATACGTCTCTTTCAACTGCTCAAGCTCCTGGAGCTCGGCTTGCACTTGCAGCTGAAGATGAATATGAATGCCGATATGGCATACATCACAAAGGTGATCGAAAAGTAAAGTGAACACGGGGTTGAAACTGCTTGAGCTCACGTACCACCGGATCACCCACCTATCTTGAGTCCACGTTACGGATATTGCAGTGATGGCTTAGGATCTACACTCGAAGTTGCTTTGCAGACTTAAGGAGATCTATGGCAAAATGCCCACTAAGCTCTATTAGATGTTGGTACCTGAAAACAACTGGGTTTGAACTTTGATGAACACGAGCTAATGCGATTCAAGTTTATGTTTCACAGGGACACGAATCAGTGCAAAGGCCCACAGCTCTTCGAGTGGTTCTAGCTCTTCTTTTTTTTTGGATTCAGGATAAAAGCTTTAAACTCAACCGGGACAATGGCCTAGGAGCTATTAAGCTTACTCTATATGGATGTTGGTTTATTTGGGCAGTGTGAGGATGCACCCTGGTCAGTGCAGACGCTCACCGAACGCCCTTGCTCTGGCAGTCCTAAAGATGCAAAGGCTTTGCGGCGTTGACACTTGAAGCCTGGGATGTGCAAGAGGTCAGCGCAACTCGATGCTGACAGTTACAACTCACAAAGGTGTCAAGTGTTGGGTGGTTTATCAAACAAGGAATAGGCTTGGCCCGGACCTATCTCAAGAAAGTAAACCGATGTATATGAACTGAGGCTGTTAACCAGTTAAAAACCAAATCACGTAGCCCCCAGGTGAAATAGCGAGCGCAGCAACGCAAAGCTGCAAACCTGTTTTGACAACAGCTTGAGCCAAACGTCAAGGTGCCACGCAGGCAAAATGAGAGGTTCCGACATGGTAAGACAAACATGGAATGAATGAGCTATGCTATACACACTCTTAGGGTCGTTTTCTACGATATTTCATTTCTTATATTTTTCTTTTTTCAATCCTTCACATGTCCATACATGTCCATACAAATTCTTAACCTTTCATTTTTTCCATATAAGTTCTTTCATGTTTCCAAAGGAAAAAACAAAAGAGGTCGGGAAATAGATAGGAATGTTTTTCACAGGGTGTTTGGTGACAAAAAATCAAAAACTGGCAGGGTCCCCAAATTTACCGATTTCTTATTACTTTGTGCAATAAAAGGTGCATTTTTTTCTACCGCAAAGGGTGCCCCCCACGAATGGTGGAGATCCATGGGAAACGGTCTAGATTGAGCAGTGCTGGTTCAAACCATTTCGGGAAATTAGGTTGCAAACGCACATGCATAGAATATGGCGGTGATACAGGGTTTCATCACAGGAAAGGGAGGTTCCAGGTTCCCCCTTTCAAATCGTCTTCAGGAAAGCAAGAAGCAAGATAGTAGGGTGAGGAAAAAAAAAGAGGTCGGGAAATAGGAAACGGTCTAGATTGAGCAGTGCTGGTTCAAACCATTTCGGGAAATTAGGTTGCAAACGCACATGCATAGAATATGGCGGTGATACAGGGTTTCATCACAGGAAAGGGAGGTTCCAAGTTCCCCCTTTCAAATCGTCTTCAGGAAAGCAAAAAGCAAGATAGTAGGGTGAGGAAAAAAAGGGGTCCGGAAATAGATAGGGATTTTTTTCACAAGGTGTTTGGTGACAAAAATCAAAAACGGGCAGGGCCCCCAAATTTACCGATTTCTTACTATATACTTCGGGTACCAAAAAGTATATTTTTTTCTACCGCAAAGGGTCGCCCCACGAATGGTGTTCTACCCACAAAAGGGTATGAAGGAATCCTTCCGATTATTTGTTATGCTTGCATCTTTGCAAAGGAGAATGGAACTGACTGCAATGGAAAAAAGGAAAATGAAGAGTTGTGTATGGAAAAGTGAAGAATATATATAAATATAGGAAAGTGAAGAATTTCTTTGGAAAAATGGTGAATATATATATATATATATATGGTTATGAGGGCGTTTCGTCCTCCCGTACTTTGTGTGTTTTGGCGTCTGCTCAATGCGCAGCCCACGTTCTATCCATCAATTGTGCATTTGCACATGATGGGGTCCTATAAGGCGCAACATCTTAGATATTCACGAGTGGTTCTGCCTCGCAATGCCTGTCACTTTATTCACCCTTTGGGGGGGTTCAGAATCAGGAAGCGCTGCAAATTCATGTTGGGCTCTGTGACCTGAATTCAAACAGATGCTGGCAGGTAACTGCACTATTAGGAAACAATAAAATCATAACTCTGTACCATGTTTCTCTCTTCGCTTTTGGGTGAAGAACATCTGCAATAAGATTTAGAACAGTTTGTGGGCATGTGGATCTCGCTAACGGAAGATATGTCTAGGTGCGCTGCAATAACCATCATAACTAGAAAAACTATTCTAACTATACCCAGAATCGAAATCCGTAGACACGGGTGGTGGCATTCCACGCGCAATGCGCTCATTCATCACATTAGCCCAAATCACTGCGGCTGCCTCTGGGTTCCGTAGTACGTAGTCGCGCCAGGATTGTCCAAGGGATGGGTTTGGGGTGCCACTTGACACCGCCTCACGACGGAACCACGCTGCGCGGTCGCTCATGGGGGATAGTCCCAGAAGGTTTTTTTTAGTGAACGAGTCTGCGACACAAATGGCTACAAATTCCATATCCAGTCATGACATCTTTGATAACTATATATATATATATATAGATATGTAGCTTCTCCATGCGCATTCCTGCACTAGCAGCCATGCAGTCTGACTCACACAGTGCTACATGCCACATGCCTATAGCCTTTGCATGCAAGCTCTTTTACTACTAGCCGTGCATATCCTCATGACGCATCTCCCCATGTAGTGCGACATCGGGTGCTTCTGTCAAAGGGCGTGCTTCTTCATGCATGTGGCTTCTCCATGCGCATTCCTGCACTAGCAGCCATGCATTCTGACTCACACAGTGCTATATGCCTATAGCCTGAGCATGCTCCCATGCTCCGACTACCAATCTCCCTCGGACACAGATGGTTTCACAGAGATAAGACGGACATTCGAGAAGTGAGCAAGGAAAAGACAGCAGCATAACGCAGCACAACCACAACATCTAGCTCTTTCTGTCGCTGCTCATGACTCCTCTTTTCCCGTGCCATCGCCATGCTGCTCAATGACCCGCTTCACCCGGACGCCGTCTTCGGCCATGCGCCTGGCGGCTACGCAACGCGGTGAGAAATTCCTTCGAAGGCACGTGACAAGTGCGACCCCCATCGAGGCTAGTCCCGAGACACAATTTTGCGCCATCGAAACTCGGTCAACAGCCGGGCCCACTTGCAACGATCATTGCGTCGCGGCATCATGCCACCGGATCTCTTTGGCACCCAGCGCTTGACCGTGCTCCATCGATTTTTGATGTGATTGGTGGTAAACCCATTGGCATTGACAATCTCGCCGGCGCTATGGTTGACCACCTCATGCCATAGCTCATCATCTCCCCACCTTTTCTCCTGCTTGAAGGCTTTGACGGCAGCCTTTGTGGCTTTCCAGCCATCGGTCACCAGAATGGTCTTCTTGGGGATGTTGAGTAAACGGACGCACTCCAAAATTTCCTTCTTCCCGCGAGGTCGTCCTTCATAAACATCTTCTGCATTATCCACAAACGGAATAGAAATCGATCAGGTTGCTTGGGGACTGTGGCACCCCACACCCACACTTGGTCCGCTTGGACGCGGCCCGAGCGTGTCAGATGTCCTGCCTTGGCCTTATTCAGGTGCGACTCATCCACCTCGATGACATGCCTGTACCGGGCGCAGAAGCGGGCACCGTTGGCGGTCTTCTTTTGCTTCATGGCATTGAATTTGGCTGCAGCTGGGCGTTTGAAACCCTTCATGCCTGCAGGTCGCTTTACACCCTTCTTTGCTGCTGCCGGCCGCTTGACTCCGCGAGTCCGGTTGGCAGACTGGGGCGGGACGGCTGCGATATTCGAAGAGGCCAGACGTGTTTGCAGATCAGCTTCCACACCTTCATGCCAGACTTTTTCCCACTGCAACAGCCTCTTGTGGTCAACGCCCACTTCTCTTTGGATCAATGCTGGAGGACAGTCGAAGGTCCACATGCAGAAGGCGTCGAAGAAGTTGAGCCAGTTCTTGCCATAGACGCCCTCCAGCACGGTTCCTTTCGCCAATGATTTTGTATGCTTCTCGCACTCCGCATATGCAAGCTTGTCTTGGTGCCACTCCCACATGCATCTGTCAGACCTGTATCTCAGAAAAAAATGCTGGTGACAAGTCTCACACACGTGCTGGACAGGCAGGAGGCCGGCATACATGGCGAAGAGCAAAGCTTTCAAGTTTTCTTTGTTTGGGTAGTGACCAGTGTTCTGGATAGTTGCCCATTTGACACGGTAAAGAAATTGGCTTCTCGTGTAGATCTCCTCATTCTTCAAAGCCCGCTGGAAAGCCGCCACATCGGCATAGACCGCCATGGCGATGGTCGAACTCTACTCTAGATCACTTGTAAAGCCAAAATCTGAGAGATGAAGACAATGACAACTCATGCTAGGAGCATCAATCAGTGTCGGCTTCGGACAGGACTCGAAGCATGAAAACAATGGAGCTGCGCGATTGTTTGGAATGACTCTGGCTCAAGAGACATGAAGCTGACAGAATCACGAAAGAACATAAAGCAGCGCTAAGATGCAGTTTGCATAGAAATTGAACGACAAGTTCTGTCGGTTGAGCTACAATTTGCCACCGCACGTGCAATACCCTTTTGCTAACACGTGTGAAAGCAGGTGGAGGCATGATACTTTTTGTCGGACACAAGCTGCTCAAATCGGACGCTGCCTAGAAGAAGGGTTATTCCCGAAGCACTTCTCTACATGAACACAATGACCCCAAAGGAGTTGAAGAGCAAGGCAAGATAGGAATGGAGGCTCAACCCAAGGTGCCATCGTGGAAACCAGCAGCTTCATCGATCATGTGCCCGAGCTCTTGCTCCAAGGAAAGGTCTGCAGGCATCTCATCATCTGCATCCAAGTCAATCACCCTATGGGTGGCTCGAAGTTCCTGGCTCCAGATCTTTGCTCGCTTGGCAACATCACGGGAAGAGTCCTCGAAGATCTCCCGCTTCACTGCAATGCGATGTTCTGCAGCATCCAAGCACGAAGTGTTCTTGTCCTTCTCACCCCACAACGCAGATCGCATCTTGCCCGCAGAGCCATATATATATATATGAGTGTGTGTGTGTGTGTGTGTATACGTGTATATATATGTATAATATATATATATGGAGAAGTAAAGAGCCTGTATGGAAAAGTGAAAGAAACTATATATATATATATATATTGCGAAGTCTGCTTGAAAAAACAGAAACAGGCTGCATAGAGATGTACAAAGGCTTCGAGAGGAAAGACCACATGGGGAGAAACAAATCAACATGAAATAGGGGAATAGTCTAAATACATTTTCGGCAAATTTGCCCGTGGAATTGAAAAATAAAAAATGCATTTTCTATGTAAGCGGAGAACCTTATAAACTTATAAATATATGAGTATGAATGTGAATGTGATTACGTTAACATTATGTTAAAACAGAATCTACATTGCGATCTCAGCTTTCTAAACTGTGATGAACAGATCTGATCAGCAAGATTTGGGGCTGAACGGAGCTGAACCTGGTTGTGTGCGTCACCAGCTCCGACCATGTCAAAGACAAAGGTGAGTTGCTGCTCAGGAGCTGATATAAACTCAGAATCGCAGCAAGAGCTGAAGCCGCTCAAATATGGTCAAACTGTCCGATGCGGCAAGATGAGGCAAGAGATATCAAGCTGATGTGATCCTATTCCCCAATATCGCAGGAATATTCCTGGGAAAGAAACATAGTGAGTATTAGCAAGTTATGATACTTGATAGTACAGTGTACAGTTGTGTCGGTGTTTGTACGCAGTTGCCGAACCTTCTGGGGGCTGGACAGGAGGACGTAGCTTTGAAGCTTCTGCATACCATAAGGGTCAACCCTGAGTTGCATGTGAAATTCATTCTTTTGTCTTTGGTTGCTTTTGTTTACACTGTCGCATCAGTCCAGTCCATTCTATAGGGCTATTAAGGCTTGGCACGCGTTGTCTTGTTCCCTTTCATAAGATAGAAGCCTTCAGTCAGTGCCAAAGAATATTGCTGTAGCAGTTCAGAACAGTTTCTGACGGCATTCAAGGGAGAAGATGGAGAAGATAGAAACATCACACAAACTATATCAACCTATGCAAACCTTCTTCCCTGGAAAATGACAATAACTTCAAGCCGCAGCCTCTAAACCCACCAAAGAATGAAAGCTCTCCATGGCCAATGTTTTTTCCCCAACCGCGCAAACTTGGGGTCTTCAGCCATAGACAAGGTTTGGAGCAGGTCGGAGCAGCCGAAATTTCCAAAGCTCCCAGGTTCCCAGGAACAGGTTCCCAAGGTTCCCAAGGTTCCCAAGCAAGGTTCCCGAGCAAGGTTCCCGAGCAAGGTTCCCGAGCAAGGTTCCCAAGCAAGGTTCACAAGCAAGGTCCCCAAAGGTTCCCAAGAACAGGTTCCCAGGCAAGGTTCCCAGGAACAGTTCCTACAGGTTCCCAAGCAAGGTTTCCAAGGAGCCCAAGCAAGGTCCCAAAGCAAGGCCCCCAAGCAAGGCCCCCAAAGCAAGGTTGCCAGAAACAGGTGCCCATTGATTCTCAAAGGTTCCCAAGAACAGGTTCCCAGGCAATCAGGCAAGGTTCCCAGGAACAGGTTCCCAAGGTTCCCAGCAAACAAGTTCCGAAGCAAGGCTCCCAAGAAAGGTTCCCAAGCAAGGTTGCCAAGGAGGCCCCTGTCAAGGCTCTGTCAAGGCCCTGTCAAGGCCCGGCTACTCTAATGATGACTGAAGGCAAGGAAAGCTCAAAAGCTTTCACTTAGCTTTTCTTAATGGGGGCGCTGGTGGGACAACACTTAACACAAGGGAGGGGGGCTCAGAAAGTAAGGACTCGACTCCGATGTATTACATCAAGGACCACCGGTGTGGTTTTCATGGGAGGAAAACAGAATTTAAGGAAATGGGTGCAAGTTGTTAAACCTAACTCGTGTAATGTAAATTACATTAATTAGTTTTTTTTCCATCCATGGAAAGACAAGGGCACAGTTCCCAGAGATTCCCTCAGGAAGTTCCCAAGCAAGGTTCCCAGGAACAGGACCCTAAAGGTTCCCAAGAACAGGTTCCCAAGCAAGTTTTCCAAGACAAGTTTCCAGGCAAAGTTCCCTAGAACAGGTTCCCAAGTAAGGCTACCAAGAAGAGGTTCCCAGGAGCAGGTTCCCAGGAACAGGTTCCCAAGAACAGGCTCCCAAGCAAGGTTCCCAAAAACAGATCTCCAAGCAAGGTTGTCAGGAACATGTTCCCAAGCAAGGTTACCAAGCAAGTGTTCCCAAGCAAGGTTCCCAGAAAAGGTTCCCATGCAAGGGTTCCAAGAACAGGTTGCCACGAACAGGTTCCCGAGCAAGTTCCCAGAGAGGTTCCCAAGCAAGGCATCCAGGGATAGGTTCCCAAGCGAGGTTACCAAGGAAAGGTTCCCAAGCAAAGCTCCCAGGACCAGATTTGCAAGCAAGGTGTCCAGGCACAGGGTTCCAAGCAAAGTTTATTTTGTTCCAACGATGTCATGCTCACTATTCAAGCTTTGTGTGGGGCCACTGCTGTGTGTTCAAACGCGCGCATTTGAAAACTGAGACTGCAAATAACTTCCTGAACTGGCAAAGTGACAGGATAGACAATCAAAGGCTTATCTCAGCCAGCTCTCAAGCATGATTGCGACAAACATTTGATAACTTTTTCCTTTGGTTGTTCCTGTTGGGGACATTCTTTGGGCTTATTTTACAGAAGCTGATTGTGACTTAACACCTGCAAAGTGCTAGACCCCTTGCCTGGCCAAAGGATCACCTGGCTGCAACCAACTCCAGAGCTCAAACCTCGACTCTTCAGCAGAGGATGTCCTCAAACATCTCAAGAATTATCAAAATCAAAATGCCAAACCATGCCAACTGCAAAAAGAACTGTGGTCGTGAGCACCTTGCATATCGATGTTGTAAGGCAAACACCGCTGCAGCGTCGTGCGGAAGAATGCCTCTGGCCTGAAACAGATGAAAAAGAGCCCGTGAATGCACGATTAGCACTTCCAACATGGAAAGATGCTTGAAACATGCATTGGACGCCTAATCATCAGTGCAGACAAACGCACAACCAGAAGATCGGCATCCATGAGCATGTGATGCCTTGGAGAGCAAACATGTTCAAAAACATACTCCCTCCAAAGCAAATCAAGAGATCGCCAAAACGTGTTCCCACGAGAACAAGCGCTGGCTTTCCAAAGGTTGTTGAGTGATGTTAATTGCTTTGGATTTGCTTGAATGATCTCGCATGCATAACTACACGACAGGCTGGTTGATCTGGTCTGAAATCTTTTCACCTCTGGTAGTATCCCGTTCCCTCCTTCCGTTGCTTATTTGGGTCATCGTGATCATTCAGGATCATTCAGGATCCAAGCTGGCATCGCTAGGACAACCACCAGTAGTTCATGCGGTAGAACTCGCTCTCATGCTCAAGAGCCTGTTGCGTCTCAAATGCCCTGAGAACAAACAAACAACTATGACAAAGCAACATCTCACAGACCTCCCCATTTCTTCGCCACATGCCAGCCATCCTTGGAAATAATGGATGCGTCGGCAAGTTTCGGCGTATTCATACAGGCAGCTCTAACATTAGGAAGCTGTTCACTGGGCGTGCAACACCTGTGAGTGAAGAACCAGCGCTCGTAGCGAGTGCTCCATCCTCGAGCATCTGGGGCAATGACTCTCTGCACCTCTGCCTTCGCACTGAGAGGCTCACCACCACTGGATGTCAGATTCTGCCATTCCAACTCCTTTGAATGCCTGGCTTGGATAGATCTGGCACTTGCATCTTCAAGAGTTGAGATTGTCAGAATGCTGTGCGATGTGTGCGATGCTGTGCGTGGCTGCGTGCGACTGTGCGCCTGATCTAAAATGCTGACTCTGCTGCCCGCAGAGTGCGGAGTACTGCCCGGAGTACCTAAAGCAACTCTCTCTAGATTTGCTGGGCGCATGTGCTATGCATCTGCTCATCCCTTATCATGTTCTAGTTTGCTGATGGTTGGTTCATCTCAGAACAGGTTTCAGCCTCTGACGAATGCAAAGCTGATGAATCAAGAAAGCCAGGACCTCGGAACAATGCCCAAGAAATCCCCAGAAATACCTTACGACAAAATGCTGTGACGTGCCTCATTGATGATTTCTGAGGAGTTGACGCGGTTCACAGGGAGGTGAAAACTGGTCCCTTTTGAAACCTGCGTGTTAAAAATGCAAATCTCGATGCAAGTTGTCTGGAATTATGTATTGTCTTGTTGATGCACGCAATCATGCGCTTGGGGATATTCCGCCAAATATGAAACAAATCTAGCAGAGCTGCTGGCCTACACAAAGCCTGCAGCAACAAAATACGTTGCCACATTGGCCACACTGTCACTTCAAACACCGGGCTGGCATTCTATCTGAAATATATTCAGAAATTAAATTCTACCTGGGATTTTATCTGACATAAGTGCTCTGGCTTCTACCTGACAAATATTCTGACGTTCTGTTTGACATTTCGTCTGACATTTTATCTGACATTCTTGCTGGCATTCTATCTCACACATATTCTGACACTGACATATATTCTGATCCTACCTGGCATCCTACCTGACATATATTCTGACATTCTACCTGGCACTCTTTCTAGCATCTATTCTGACGTCCTATCTGACATATGTTCGGGTCGGTACATGCCCAGCTGAATCCGGAGCCCGCGATACGGTTCAGGCTGGGTGGCTCCTGGGCCGGAGCAACAGTGCCGTGCAGGGCGCGTTGGTGCACACGGTGATGGCAAGCCGGGCAGGAGGAGGAGGAGGACGCAGTGAGGCGGGGCACGAAGCAGGTGGGACAAACTCAAAAACCGCGTGGCCGTCAGGTGGCCCATTAGCCGGCAGTACCTTACTTCGAGTGACCCCCGCCCTGACACCCTATTCTGACATAGTTTCTGACATATCATCTGAAAATACATAATTCTAACATTCTATCCGACATTCTTTCTGGCAAACACCCTGGTAGCCCATCATGTCTTCAATCCTTCTGGCATTCTATCTGGCATCTATTCTGACATACTTTCTTGCATCTACTCTGGCATTCTATCTGGCTTCTATTCTGACATTCTATCTGGCATCTATTCTGACGTACTTTCTTGCATCTGCTCTGGCATTCTATCTGGCTTCTATTCTGACATTCTTTCTGTCAATTCTGGCATTCTACCTGGCATCTTTTCAGGCATTCATTCTGGCATCTATTCTGACTTTCCGTCTGGCATTCTATTCGGCATTCTGTCATGTGTTTGGGCCCATGTGTGCCCAGCTGCATCAGAAGCTCGATAGGGTTCGGGTCCGTTCCAGAGCTTGCTATTTGGTTGGATCCAGCATGCCCAGCCACCCACTCTGTAGCGACGAGCTGGCAAAGGAGGAGAAGTTGAGAAGGAAGGAAAAGGAAGGATGCAAGGAAGGAGCTGCACCTTTGTTACAATCTAGAGACCCTCGCCTGGCAGGTGGGGAACAAGCCAAAAAGGCCTGACAAAACGCAGGGCTTTGTGAGGAAGGACTTTGGGAAGGGCAACTGGCCAAGCGTACAAGGCCACAAAGGTTGAGGCTAAGCTTTCCCACATCATCCCACCTCATCCTGCATCATCCCTCATCATCCCAGATCATCCTACATATGAATCAAACACTATCTATTACAAAGGTTTTGACAAGAACGCGGTGCAACAGTTGTGCCTCGAAGTCTATGCTCTCCATGGACAAGGCACCGACCTTGTTTTACCACCCCGCGCAGGACGCGTCGTGACATGCCCATCAGAGTCGTTGAATTCAAACGCAACATTGGCTTATGGTTTCAGCCCGCATGAGCAATATCAATCAGCCTGGATCATCATCTCAAATAGGGTTGGAAAAACTAGGCGAAAGTGCGGCCCGAAAGGAAACATAGGAAACCGGGAGACAAACCTCCAATGAAACTTCCAAAAAGGTCACAAACGCAAAGGGTTCCTTCCCAAAAAGACATGATCATGAAAACATTGATGCGATGTTGATATTAATGATGATACTGATTTTACACCTTTTTTTAAAGCATGGAAAGACTTTTACGCACAAATGCTTTTACACACTCATGATCCTCCAGCTGTCCGGCCAGCCCAGCGGATCAGCGGATCAGCGGATCAGCGGACCAGGGGACCAGCGGATCAGCAGATCAGCGGACCGAACCAAGAGATCCACGGATCAGCTCGTCCACGGATTCTGCAAAGCGCTATCTCTTTGTACTTGTCAACTGCTTTCCACACACGCGCCTTTCTTCCGCTCATTGCAGGTTCATTCTCCAAGAAATTGTACCTTTGACAAGTTAGTGCATGTCATCAGCAACATCATGATTTACGTCATGTATGTCCTTCTGGCAGCCATCCTCCACATTGTCTGACGTTTGGGATCTGTTGTTTGAGGAACCTTATCCTACTCTGAGCGTTGTCATTCAGAGTTGGATGTGCGGCCTGAGGTCATCATCCCTTCCTCTTCGCTGTCCGGTTTGGCAATTTCACCAAGGCGGGCAACCCCGAGGAGGGCTACAATTCTCACCGCAACACAAATACATGTGCATGCATGCCATCAGCAACACCATGATTATATCATGTATGCCCTTCTGGCAGCAATCCTCCACATTGTCTGACGTTTGGGATTTGAGGAACCTTATCCTACTCTGAGCGTTGTCATTCAATGTTGTTTGTGCGGCCTGAGGTCATCCCTTCCTCGTCGATGTCTGGTTGGTAATTTCACTAAGGCGGGCAATCTTCCAGTGGTTCGGAGGAGGCTACAAGTCTCACCGCAATACAATGACATGCGCAAGCACGCGCAGCGCTTTTTTGGGTGCGACCATTGCAGGCTTACTTGTCAAGGGATTGTATTGGCTTCACACGGCAATGAAATGTGCTTCTAGCAGCCAGATTGTCCAAAGTTGTGAGATTTGGTGTTATACCCTACTCTGAACATTGTCATTCCCCACTGCCTGTGCGGCCTGAGGTCATCACATCCTCGTCCACCTTTGGTCCCTTTGTTCTTTGGAAATTTCACGAAGGCGGGCAATTCTGCGGCTGCTGCTGCGCAGGGCTGCAATTTTGAGAGCAACAAGCATGTGCAGCATTTTTGATGCAATCGCTGCAGGCTTACTTTTCAAGGGACCGCGGCTTCATATGGCAATGACGAATCGCGAATTCTTTTGCAAATAATATCTCATGAGTCACGACTGTGCTTCTGCCAGCCATCTTGGACATGACCCACTCAAAACTTGTTAAGACAGTCAATCGCAAGACGCATCCTCAAAATTGTCCGTACCAATCATGGCGGCTGGGTCGACTCATGCTGCGCTTGCGGCGATCATTCGAGAAGCCGACCGGTAGATTGCCTGGCGGCGGAATTGTCTCCGCTGATTGAAAATCTTGCAGCCGTGTACGGAAGAGAAACTGACCTCAAGGAGTTGCTACCTTTCCCTACACATTGCCCGGCTTGTCAGAATCGGCTTGCTGAACGCAGAAGCTCGGCAGCTGCTGCAATCATAGTCGACCTGGCTGGCATTGTGGAAAAGCAGCACGTCCCATTACGCTGCAGGCGTCCATCCTGCCCTGACTTTGGGGTGCTGTATTGGCACAACTACAGTGTGCGTGAAGGGCGGCACGTTTTTCATGGAAAGCTACCCGGCTTCCGTTATTGCTTCATGCTATCTTCTGTTTTCGGCTTTAGTGTGCCGTGGCTTCAGCAGTTCCATGCTGGCCTGGTCAGGCAGCACGCGTCATTCACTAGTGAAGCGGATGTGCTCACTGCGCAGGCTGCCTGCCTACGTCTGCTCATTAGCCAGGGTTGGTTTTCATGGCGCCTTCTCACAAGGGCACTGGGGGCAGATATGGAGCTGTCTGAGATGGAATTTTTGAAGCCTTTGGAAGACATGGTGGCCCTTTTCTTGCCGCAGTTGCGACACACATTTGGACAGAATATGTTGCAGATGCGCTGCGATGTGGTGGTCCTCGATGGCAACGCCAAGAATCGGAGGGCTGTGTGTGCAGCAGCTTTGGCCGGCTCCTCTCATTCTGAGCATCTCCCGCGCACCTTGCGCCACACCTGCACCAGGACGCCGGCCTTCCGCCATGCTTTTTGCCGTTGGCATTGCGAAGGACCTATGGACGGAGAAGATCACCTTCAGGTGCAAGGGCTGGGTCATTGTCATTTGTGTTGCTTTCTTCTGGCTGAAAAAATGTGCCCTTGTCTTAGACCCCAACTTCAGGATGTGGAGATTGTGCGCCACAAGGTGGTCAATGATGGGCAGCAGCTTATGGTTTTGCTGAAAGAGACCATGGAGCCTCAGAGAGAGGCTTGGGTTTCGGGTGCATGTGTCCCTGCAGCAGTTTTGCCGAAATATGTGCGACAAGTAGGCCAAGAAAAGCTCAAGCCTCGCAAGCGGTCACATGAGGATCAGTCGCAAAGCCTTGGCAAAGCATCTTCTCCATTGCCATCAGCTTCTCGGCCTGCTGGGACAAACAGTCCTGCAGACCTGCAGCAGCTCCCAGACTCCACAGATCTCATGTCGGTCACCTGTTCTACGCACAAAGAAAGCACAGCTGCCCAAAAGCAGCTTAAAAAGTCTGCCGGAATGCTGTGCGCGTGTTTGTCGGACGGTGTAATCTTGCACATGCAAGAGATCTATGGCTGCGAATCTCTAAGCCAGCGATACGTCTGCGTTGCCGCCGTCAAGGCATTGATGCCGTCCCTCTGCGTAGTCGTGCATGATGACGCTTGTCACTTGCACAAATATGCGGCCCGCAGGGCAAAGGACGAAAGGGTTGCATGTCTGTTGCTGCGGGAGAGAGAGATATATATATATATATTTTTTGTAACTATTGGACCTGGGGCAATCAATAGTATGCTCTGGAAGCAAACCTTGAAACCAAACCTTCAGCCCGAACCAGATATGTGTCGGAGTTAAATGAACTAGATTGGCCCTGCAGGATTCAGCAGCTGCCGCTGGCATAGCCCCGCCAAAGCTGACCTACGTATGTGATAAGTTTCACATGGCAGGACACACAGACGCCTGGTGCAGGAAGACTTGTGATCCGGACCTGCCGGAACATGCTTCTGTTCTGAAAGGGATTAGAACATCAGTGTGCGAGTTTACCTTCACTTGGCTGAGCAAGTATTATTATAAGCACCAAACAAAGCACATGAACGAGTACAGTATGTCTTCAAAATTCTTCCTCTTGGACATGGCGTGGAGTCGTGGAGCCACAACGAAATCATTTTGCAAGGAGGTTATCGGCCAGAGGAAGTGGCAGGATCACTTAGTGCTGAACGCGCTAGAAAAAACATTGTGGTCTGATCTTGCAAGTACCAGGCAGGCTGCATGCTGTTAAGTCTGCATCCCAGTCGTTCGATCATGTCCCTGCGCATGTGCAAATGCGCTTGTCCATCCTACTTGCTCACTATGCTGCAGTGTTTTTCGCTCATCACAGGTGCAGAATCTTGTAGTGGTGAGTTCCACCGCCATGTCTGAAACCCATGAAGATAGACAGTACATACCGGCCATGAAGCTCATGGGGGATGAAGTAGACGCACGCTTTGATCCAAAGTATGTGCTTGGGGAAGCTGGCCATCGCTTCTGCCAAACATATTCCGTGAGAGCTGCCCATCCAGAATTTCCTTACGCCCTGCATTGTTTGTCAATGATGTGTGCTCTGGTCAATGGGGCTCGTGTTGCTGTCTTTCCCACATCCCAATCGCCTCTTGTGGCCATCAATGTGAACTATGCCCAAACGAGAAAATCGTCCATGACAGGCCACGCAGAAACCCTGGGGCAAACGTTGGATGCTGTCATCCTGAAGGCAGTGGAATCAAGATTGGAAGAGAGCTTGCCAGAGCCGGCAGTGCAAGATGGATTGCCAGGTGGGCCTTCCGGAGGGCTTCGAAGGCCGGGCTTATACACTTTTCGTCGATGAGATGTTTGACCCTTGTAATGCTTTAACTTTGTGTAAAAGCACGCCAAATTAAATGACAGTTTGCATGACCACTTTTTTGTGTCCTTGCCCACTTTCAGCGCAGGTATTTGCGGCCAAGAATACTGTCAGCTACAGTGGCCAGCTCCACGCCAGAAGAATGGTTTCATCAGTTTCATCGTTGCTCCGGAGACTGGGACCAAGTCCGGAACGCGGACAAGTTGCCAGGTGACTTCTCGGGCCGGTGTTGGTACGGCTTACTCGGCAACTTTGATGAAGCCTACGACTTCTTGCTCAGTCTTGGGCTTTTGTCAGATCCCAGCACATCTTCCAAAGCAAAATTGAAGGTGAACCCGTACCAGAGCGCTTTCAACAAGCTGCTGCAATTCGGCTCCAGCGTCAGAGCCACGAAAACAGCAGGCAGCTACGGTGAAAGGCCTGACCGGACAATAAGCATGGGAATCACCTGCAACATGCACCGGCGCAGTACATTCCAATGGAAAGGGGCGAAAAAGGTTCCTCGTTGCCACTGGCCGACAGGTACAACCTCATGAAGAGCTCCCTCCTGATTTTTGCACCCCTGAAGGATGGGGCTCAAAAGTTGACATTGATTGAAGCAAGTGCGTTTGTAGTAGCACTCAACGCAATTTCAATTCTGCCACACGTCTCATCAAAAGTCTTGCATTTTCTTGCTTTTCTGGGACGTATATCGCTCCGTTGACTGCGCAGGAGCTTCGCGGCACCACTGGGTCCCCCTCACGCCTGACATTTCTGAGTTGATCGGCGTTGCCAAAGAAGCGGCATCTCCGCTCAGGAATGGCACGAGGCCGGCTTCGCAGATGCAGGCGTCGTGCAGCTCACGCAGAATGCTGCCCGGGAGTACGTGCCATCAGAAGAGGGATACCCAGTTAGGCTTTTGGATGGCAAGCGCTCCGTTTCAAGCGTGACCAATCCGCTCCAAACGGCTTTGAGGCAGAGTGGAGAGCATCCAACCGCAACTTTGCCATTCCTGAGGAATGTTCCATTCATACGGCAGTGGCCCGACTGACGGCATACTTCTCAGAGCCGCACCAAGTCATCACTCTCACTGCGGAAGCAGAGTCGTGGCACTTGTCCTACCAGGGCGCCATGAATGTTCAGAGCCATGTCGTTCGTGAGCCTGGGGACGTGCAAGCTGGTGCTCGTTTTGGTGCGGCTGGCATCCTGGCAGCCTTGCTCTTGGTATTCGAGATCTTCGTTGGGGCCCATTCCGTTGAAGCTCTTCAAGCAAAAGCTTTGCAGGTCACTTCTCAGCATTTGCAACGTGCCTACGCTGTTCTCCATCTCGTCCTCTAGCGGATTCAAACAATTTTTCCTGTTCATGCGGAAATGTTTGCTGCTCTAATAATGCTTGCCAGCTTTGGACTTTGGCTTTGAAATTGCAGAACATGACTTTGCCACTCTTGCCTGTAAGGTTCAGAGGTTGAAGCAGATTGCACTCGGGGATGCTGCCACAAGCCCAGACAATGCCCCGCCGCTGGAACAAGAGGCTTCCTTTGCTTTTGCACCTGCCACGCAGCCGTGGAGACCAGTCGATGAGAGTGAGGATGAGGATGATGAAGGGGACGCAGGAGAAGTTGACATGGAGCCACCCGAAGAGCCTGCTGAACACTTGGCCCAGCCGCCCCAGCCACCCCAACCCATGGATACGGAACCCGCAGCTTTAACTCTGCGAGATGTTCGTGCCAGTGATTATGGCTTTGTTGACAATGGACTTTCTGTGCAGCCGGATGGCCTCCACAGCCGCCACTCGACCGACAGGGCAATTTTGAAGCAAACGCTTCTGACAGGGAAGCCCAAGGTCACGCGCAAGGAGGCTTGTGACAATTGCAGCTCCCGACAAGCAGGTCGCAAGGCTTTACCCAAGGAAAAGTGGACTGCTGTGATGGCAGCTGCCGCGGGGCAACATCCAAACCTATTGCGCCTGGAAGGTGAGACATTGTGCTTGCATGCGCAGGTCATACCTGACACTTCCAATGGCAAGGTGCGGTACCACAACGATCTCATGAAAGCCTGCGGCCTCACCTTGCGGGAGCTGATCGCAGCCATGAACAAGACAACTGTGAGGCATCTGAGAAGTCCGAGCAAGACCGCCGTGCAAAACGTACCAGGAATGAGTGACATAGGGCAGCCGTTCCGGCAGCGCGGCATAAAATTATAAAGGGCGAAAATGGAATTGGCGCCAAGAACACAAATGAAGCAATGTAATTTGAATTTCACTCTTCATGTCCAAAAACCCCCTGGCAAGAACGGCATTGTCCTGACCTGGCCAGGACAAAGCTCTGGAAGAGTCGGCTGCGCGCTGCTTTGACATGATCATGGCCTATAGCTAGGACTGCGCTCGTGGCCATGATGGCTTTGTGACAGCAAGTACTAGGCGCAGTGGGGCTCGCATAGCTCCCTGCGTGCCAAATCACATATCACTCTTTGGCCGCACAAAAGTTGCTATATATAGTCTCTTACTATGATCAACAGAGCGGGCCACCGGATCAGCGGACGAGCGGATCAGCGGACCAGTGGATTAGCGGACCAGCGGATCAACGGATCAGCGGATCAGCGGACCAGCGGATTAGCGGATCAGCGGACCAGCCGGATTAGCGGATCAGCGGATCAGCCGGAGCAGCGGATCAGCGGATCAGCGGATCAGCGGACCAGCGGACCAGCGGATCAGCGGACCAGCGGACCAGCGGATCAGCGGACCAGCGGACCAGCGGACCAGCGGATCAGCGAATCAGCGGACCAGCGGACCCAGCGGATCAGCGGATCAACGGTCCAGCGGATCAGCGGATCAGACAACCCCACGATCATAAGTCCTTTTACACACATGTTTGTACACATGAGATTTTGGGGCATATAGGAACTTCTCGCGCGGAAAAAAATCAACACGCAGCAGATGTTTGTACTATTTTCCACAGCTGGAACATGCATGTGCCTTTACACACCCGTTTTTTGACACATATGTTTTTACACTTTACACACAGAAGCTTCCGACACAAGTTCGGCATTGCAATTTCGACTCATTTTTGCACGAGTGATGCGCTTTTCCGCCGGGGCAGGCCTACAATCGGCAAAAGAAAACTGGATTTCTACTTCAATGTTGAATGATCGAACCGCTTTTCGCGCGGGAAGCATGGTTCAATCAGCACAGACCGGATCCAAATTTCATCGCACTTTTTGACGCCCAACGCGCGTTTCGTGTGAAGGGATGCATATATTTGGAAGGACCGCCCCGTTTATTGAAGGGGTTGCAGGTTCCCATTTTGGCCAGTGCCAAGCCCCTACAACATGCTTCTGCGGCAGATAAAAATTCCCTCTAACTACAAAATCAGAAGGCCCAACGACTTCACTTTAGACATGCCTAGGCACAAATTGCCTCTACAAAATGCCGGGCCTGTCATGAGCAGAAATTTAGGCAGATTTGTTGCCTGGAAAAAAGAAGCTCCTAACAATACAAAAATCCTTTTTGTAGAGCAAGGTTCCCGGGGGCCACAAACACAAAAGTCGATTGAACAGTACAGCGCGCAAAATTCTGCACATTCCGCGTGTAAGGATCAAAAAATATCAAAAGATTCAATAGGTTAGCCCAAACAGAGCTTACAAAATGAAGAGTGCCATTGACCCACACAAACCATGCGCTTGCGTTCCCTGATTAGGTATATGCTGGGGCACCTTCAGGAATGTGATTCTATGGAGGGAAGTCTTTGGGGGTGTCCGTCGAAAGACTTCAGCCCGCTTGTGTTTGTATTGTAGAGATTGGCGGGTGCCTACAGATGTACTTCTAAAATTTCAACCCGCGTTTCACATTTTGTGGGCTTTTCTTGAGAAATGCGGTCTGGAATATGAGCATTCATGTGAACCGAATGATTTCCGATGGTCCCATATAAATCACCCGCGTGGAATAGATTTCGAGATTTTCCAATTAGGTTCTGGGGTTGGCACTTGTGATTGGGTAGATACATGTAGAGAATGCAAATTAAAGCCGGGGAGAGCTACGGAGAACTACAAAATGCAACTCAGATTGGGCCCTGCATTCCCTACAAAATTACAGCTGTTGACAGAGCCATTTCAATGGTTGTCCTTCATTTTGACACAAACAAAGCCCGCTACGTGATGACAACCCCAACTAGTCTGACTTTACGGATGTTGGCGCCGGTTTGTGCCCTCCAAAAAGTTTGTAGAAGCTGAAAGGTTCGTCTCAAAGAAAGAAACATGGAACCACATCTGAAACAAGAAACTTGCCTCTACAAATTCAAATGGGTTGGGCACTGATTGGGACTGGCCTCTTTTTTTAGTTTTTGGCAATTTCTTGAAGCCCTAGTCGGGATCAATTTCGCGCCGGCACTGCCTCTACACTATCGAAGTTCAGCTCCACCTCCCACTGCCTAAACCTGAAGGGTGAGGGGCATTTTGATTATGTTCAAATTTGGCAGCCTGTCACCCACGTTTCTGATTTTTAGCGGCTCTTGTAAAGGCTCTTAAGTGGCCCTGGGCCGGAGTCTCTGACTTTAAAAAAGCTCTTCAATGCCCTTTTGCCCATGTCTTGAATGGCCCTTGGCCAATGTGTCTGATTTTATGGGGACATATTTTGGTCATGAAGGCACGTAAAATATCAAAAGCACCAAAACAAAACCACCATGAAACACCCAAATCTTGCCTTCATTGGCTTGCATTGTTGTAATAATTAATATCTTTATTGGTTTCGTATGGTACTGGTATCCTTAGAGCGGAATAGGACCCTAAACCAGAACAAGCGTTAAGACTTTAAGGGTATCAGCAGAGGGCCATGAATTTTCGCAAGCCCGCCACAAACCAATCCACAGAACTCTTTCAACAACCCTCAAAGCATCCGGTAAACCTGAATGGCGCTATGTTCAGGGTTTGCAGCGGCCATGGCGGCCCCTTGGACCATGTTTCTGATTTGTAGCGGCTCTTGTAAAGGCTCTTAAGTGGCCCTGGGCCACGTCTCTGACTTTATAGAAGCTTGCCAACGCCCTTTTGCCAATGTCTTGAGCGGCCCTTAGCCAATGTGTTTGATTTTGTGGGGACGTATTCTGGTGCTGAAAGCTAGTAAAGCACCCAACACACCAAACAAAACCACTATGAAAAACCAAAACCATACCAAAACATTGGCTTTGACTTGCCTTAATTGGCTTGCATGGCTTTAAATTTTCTCTTGGTTTCGTATGGTACTGGTTTTTTGAGAGTTGAATACACCAAGGGTTAACAGCCAACCTGTTCCCGCCACCAGCGAGCCGTCCATTTTCACAAGTCCACTATAGACGAACCCCAGAACTCTTTCTGATTTGGGGGGGATCAAATTTAGAACCAAGCGGAATCAAATATAATCCATCTAAATGGTTTATTGTGGGGAGTTTAGCCGGGTTAAGTCAGAGCAGCAAACCAAGAGCGCACCAAAAAAAGGAAAAAAGGCGGGCAGCACATTGATCAAGCGATTTGCAGATGTGTGAGGTGGCTCTATTTTCTTTAAATAATGAGAAGCGGACAACTTATGTACATTAATGCCGGCCAAAGCCAAAACTGCTACTAAACCAGGCCCACATATTTTCAGCTATCTTTGACTACCTTGAAAATGTGTTTCTACAAAATGACGCATTTTCCTTGCACATGGATAACTGTCCCTTGAGGGCTGCACAACAGAATGATTCTGTCGGGCTTTCGCGGGTCTTGATTCTGCAGAGGAATTATTTGGAAACACTTGGCGGTATTGAAAAGGATTGAGATACAGTATGTAGGTGTATTCCATTGTATTCTAGAAGACCTACGCACCTGCATCTACACACCTGCAAAAATGCAGTTGTAGATGCGTAGGCTTTGTCACCTAGATCTAAATACATGCATATATAAGGTTGTCGATCTATGCGCCTGCAAAAAAGCATTTCTAGATACTAGATGTTTAGATGCTTTCACCTGCGTCTATACACCTGTATATGTGCACCTGCAAATGCTACAGTAGTAGACATGTGAACATCTCCAAATACATTCCCGCACCTGCATGTTTGCATTTGAAGATGCGCAGATGCTTTCACATACATCTACGCACCTCTGCAGTTGAGTATGGTGATAAGGTCGGCGATGAAGTTGGTGACGTTGGTGGTAAGGATGGTCGTGATGGTGAGGATGGGGGCGAGGATGAAGATGAAGATGATGAAGACCATGATGATAAAGAAAATGATGATGATGATGATGATGATCATGATCATGATCATGGTGATGATGAAGCTTTATATCAGCAAAGGATGACAGATGATGACCTTGAAACTGTATACGGGCAGCAGCGCTTTGGAAGGAACCCTTCGTAGGGGCTTTCGGGCATAAATATGGTGTAAAACACACCTACCAGAACAAGTTTCCAACCGCCACAAGAACCTGGCACCACCGAACTCTTAGGTTTGAACCCGACCTTCAGCTACATGGACCTATGCAGGTGAAGGGTTTCAGGCGATCAAGCAAGCCACATATAACTGCTCAATTTGTGGGCTGCAAGGAAAAGAGTCAGAACCCCAAACCTGCGCACCGAGCTCGAACCGCCATTTAATCTGTGCTTCAGCGCAACCATAACTTTTCAAGTATCAAACCTGTACCATCCACGAACGTAGTTCTCTCCAAGCAAGCCGCCTTGCTACCAGATGCCACCAGAATCTATGCGAAGCAAAGCACTTGAATATAATATCTTCAAAACAGGGAAAAAACTTCTGTGTTCCGTGCGCCATTTCCCGCACTGCTTCCAAGTCTGCCTCGACGCGTGCATTGCCAAAGCGACGCTGATTCGTCGACACTGTGTAAAAACTTAAAGTGTCCGGGTTGGCGGTCTCTAAACCATTTTTCGACCTACGTAGGAAATGATACGCCCCTAGGAAACAGGTGCAGTTTTTTCTTCCCGAATGCGTAGGGAAGGGTTCTCGTTTTACTTTCGGGGTCTGGGGGTGGAGACGTGTTCGCTCGAGGTTGCTTGTGCGTTCGCAACCGCCCGCAACCGTTCCCAACTATCCGCAAGCATTCGCATGCACGCGCATGTCACACCCAATAGATCAGGTTAGGCCATTTCCTGCCGAAAAGGTAATTCCTACCTTAGACAAAAAAAACTATTATATAGTTTATTTTTTCGTTACCTAAATTAGTTACTTTTTCTTGCCTTCACAATTTTTTAACCTAACTTTCAACGAAAGTTTGCACGCAAACTTTCAACCCCGCCTCGCAAGTTTGCATGCAAACTTCCAACCTCCCCTCGCAAGTTTGCAGGCAAACTTTAAACCCCTCGCAAGTTTGAGTGTAAACTTGCACCATGCACCATTTGCCTGCAAATGCTTGCGTG